AGGTTGAAGAGGAGTAAGTGGTGGGGGCAGGGGAAGGAAAAATAAACGTTTTTCCACCCTTTCTAGGCTTTTGTACATCATGTTAGTATTTTTTCAAGTATTTTAGCGAGGCAAAAGTATTAAGCTTTGTTCGAGCATTTTAGTGCGATTTTCCCGGAAAATTAATTTTTTCCTCAGAAAATAGAAATCAACATTTTTTACCAGAAAATTAAAAAATTGAAAAAATTTCAAATGCCACCCTAATGCAGCGAGTAAAGAGGTCTGAATGAGTGTCCTATCAACCTTTACGTTCAATTTTTTAGACCAAAATAGGCATTAGCGCAGAGTGCAGTTTCTTTTAAGTGTTGAATTACTTGTAAAAGACTCTGATCGGCCGCTTACAAGAGCTTAAAAACAAAGGAATAGTCCAGCTGGGTAATCCCAAAAGAGGCCGCGGTCGCTTAAGAGAGGTTCAAGTCACAGTTACCACGGTCCAAACAGGGTTTCACACATGTGATCTTAACTAGAGCTGGTCGCTTAGGAGAGTGGTCGCACGGAAAGCTTCGACTGTAGTCACCTTTGCAAGACTGTGATCCTTTCGATCGCGTCCGTGCAGTGATGTATGAGCATTAACCGAACATTTTTGGAGGGGAAACCGAGCATTTTAGTGGGAAAAATGGAGCATTAAGGTGGAGCATTTTAATGGGGAAATAAAAGCACAACGTACAAAAGTCTAACCCCCTCCCCGCCAACGTTTCCCAAGGAACCATGGCGGCGAATCTACTGGATTACGAGCTAATACCGATATCTCGTGAACACACGGAAAACGCCTGCACTGCAGGCTAGTCTATCCGTGCGGAGAACCCCACCCCCCTCCCCTCTGCACTCACGCACAAGTAAAGTACAGAATCAAAGAGTATGACAACAAATTTCACAATTAACAATTGAACTATTATTTTATTCCAGGTACATAAGCAGCCGTTTTAATTGACATGCAGTTACTTTACATCGCCTTGTTTCTGGACGTGCTCAAACTACAACAAAAACCAAATACAAGTGATACTTGTGAATATAAGGAGAATGTTTTGTAAACCTAAGAAAAATGAAGCGAAATCCAAGTTTAAAAACACCTGTGTCATTAAGTATAACCGATATATGTGAGCTATAATCAGCACGCACCTATAGCAGTATCAAGTGCTGTTTTCAAATGACCTACTCCAAGGGGACGAATAAAACCAACGTCAATAGCTTTGTGCAGCGACACGTTTGTGCTACCATAATAAATTCAACTTAAGAAGCAAAAAATCGGTACAAGACGCGGGTGACAAGCTTTTCGCCAACAGACGTCATAGCAAATCACGCAGGCGTATATGTCGGCGACTACCACTAACGATACTTGATTACTAGCAAGTTATATTACTCATTGGTACAAATAGATAAGCAAAAGGCTCTTCCGTGCACGTTGAAAACTCAGTTCCACACATGGTCAGTGCAGTGTTTTAAGGCCTGCAGAGATTAAACGAGAAAATAAAATTTACAAAACACCCCGTACTAAAGCGCACTGAAATCCCGTCCTTCTATGGCTCGACAGAAACACAAATGTAGCTAAATGACAGCGAGAGCGAAGAGAATTTACATTTTGACAATCAATAAATTAAAGTTCATGGCCATAAAAGCTTCTGCATGATTGGAACTGTTGACATATTCATACCAATAATTCAAACAGTTAAAAGACATTTTTTTTTACTTTCATTGAAATAGAAATCTTGAGGAGCCATTAAATATTTATCCTGTTTAACACAGAAATCTCTTTGAAAACCCTAAGGATCTTTTCCAAAAAAATAAAACAGTTCCTTAACTATCACATTGAGAGATAATGGAAGT